GAGTTTTTTATATTTTAATTAAACAATTTAAGAATTTAAATTAAACAATGTTTTCTTCTTCAACCAAAATTTGCTTGATTTTCCTTTCAATTTTTATATTATTCCAATTAAACAATGGTGACGAATTAAACAAGGATGGCTGTCCTGTAGGAGGTTGTCGTCCTCACTCGAACTGTGTTACTAAAGGTTATGCTTGTGTTGGTGAGACTCCATGTTGTGAAAATTTTATTTGTAATGGAGGTGAATTTTAATATGAGCAAATAATGATTTTAATAACGAGAAAATGTTTTGAAAGGAGATTTAATTATCCATATATCTTTTAGGTTCGTGTGATGATTGCCCTCCTAATGGAGCACCTTGTACTACCAATAATGAATGTTGTGCAGGCCATAGCTGTCAAAGTAAATTTTGCATATTTCAAATAATGAATTAAATATAGCGAGAAGAATGTAGAGAAATGTAATATTATTTATAGAGCCCGGAAAATACAGTAATACCGACGACAATTTTCGGTAAATTTCAAAACTTTTCTGCTATTTATCGGTATCCGGATCGGTATTGCGGTAATTAATACGCTTAAGTATAAAAAACCGGGCTTTAGTTATAGTACATATATACATATATTTTTTAGACAATCAATGCCATACCTGTTATAATAAAGGGCAGTCATGCGATCGGGCTAAACAGAATTGTTGTGAAGGTTATAGCTGTGGTACAGATAAGAAGTGCCACTGAATGCGAGAATGAAAAAATGTTGTGAAATTATAGTATTTTCCAAACGAAGAACGTTTTTTACTTTCTTTTTCAAATTTGGCTGTTAAATTCTTTTCTTTTTCTTCAAAAACTATTATCTTTAATGCTTTATTAATGCTTTAATTATATTAATTTTAAAGAATTTTGTTAAATAAAACATGGGATATTAAAAAATTTTTTAAAATTGTAATGTTTACATATATTTGTCTTTTAAATTTCACCACTATTAGTGTATTTTATACCGTGTGGTTGCTCATAAATAAATAAATAAATGTTTTTAATATAATAGATCCTTAAAGCTCAACTTGTAACGAAGCGAATTGAAATAAATTATTTCTATACGTTTCGTTACTGGTTGAGTATTAACCTCATACTTAAAACGAACCTGTGATCATTTAATAATTATTTCAAATAAAAATTAAAAGATCACAGGTTTCAGTAAGTGGATAAACATTTAAATCTTATCCTTAAAAAATAGCTTTTAGGATTTCCATTGGGTCGTCTCAACTCGGTTTTTGGACAATAATTATACTAGAAATTATTCGGCATTTTTCCTTTCCTTTATTAATTTAGGTAAATATGTATGAACTATTTTATTACAGATTTAAATTAATAGATTGAAAATAATTAATGATCTATTAATAGATATCAGGGATCTAGCCGCCCCGATTCCCGAAAATCGGGAATTGAATTTTTATGTCGGCTAGATCCCTGATAGATATTGTTAACTAAATTGAAAGATATTTAACAGTTTAATTAATTTGATAATAATCGAGATTAACTGGCCGATAATTTAAGAATGCCGAACTACTCCAATTAATGTAAAAGTATAATTTGTTTTTGTTTAGAAAAAAGTACCAATAGATTTCATAATATTTAATAAATTCAAAAGCAAAATTAATTTTATTTTTCATTAATCTGTCAAGTCATGAGCTTTTCTAAATTAAATTTTGTTATTAATTCAATAAACAAAAATAATAAATTTTGGCCAAAAAATAAAATTTAAATTTTAGCCAAAACTTTTATTTTATACAAAAATGGAAAAATAACCCCCAAATCATTGCCTTTCCCTTAAAAATACCCAGTTGTTTAAATATTAAATATTGGAGAAAAATAAAATTGGCGGTAAATAGCTTTATGTTTATTTGTGGTGTCATTTTACTCAGCTCGACGAGCTCTTTCGAATGAGGTATCATTTGTATGATCGAATTTTTGACCCCAAAAATCAGCTTGGTCCCCCCTATGGTTTTTCGAACTTTAAACAAATATTATGTGAATATAGTGGAATTTTATCAGAAATTGAGAAATACAATTTATAAATGAAATTTTGGAAAAAAAACCCGAGCCCGGTTTTTGGGGGTTTTAGCAGGCTTTAGAAAGAGCCCGGCCAGTTAATTACTGAGTATACTACCCAGAATTTGAGAATATCCAACATTAGGTGTTCTTTAGAATTAGCATTAAATTTCAAAATAGTCAATAAATCCCTAAAAATAAATAAAATTTTATTTTTCATTATTAAATTTAGCAAGTCATGAGCTTTTCCCAATTAATTTTGTTTTTAATTGAATAAACAAAAATAATAAATTTTAGCAAAAAATAAAATTTTAATTTTAGCCAAAATTGCCATTAAATACAAAAATAGAAATAAACCCTTTCAAAACAACTTTTTGGGCAAAAATACCCAGGTGTTTAAACAGCTTGTTTCACCCTATGGTTTTTTGATGTTTAGGTACCTATATCTCGGCCCGTAGGCATTTTCACAGATTGTGAGTGAAACCATTCGACTCAGCTTGCCAAGAGGAATCGAATGGTATACATATCGAAGGGTTTTGGAGTGGGCCACCGGTTAAAGTACAGTCGAAAAACAGTATATAGATTTCACAATAGTAAATTCTTATACATATACCACACAATATTTATACACACAATATTTATAACAGAACTGTATTAATAATAAAGATAATGAGAAAAAATAAAGATAATATGCTAGAGAATTAAATGAGGAACAAATATAATCAAGAATTTTAGAAGTACCCAACTCTTGCTTGGATACAGAGTCGAAGAATTTAGGACAAAAGTTCGCAACACCTTGGCGGAGATTTTCTCTCATTTTCGAACGAGTGATGGCAAAAGTGACTCCAAACTTTAGAGTTATTAAGCACGGACCCTTTAATCTAAAAATTTTTTAAAAAAATCATCAATAAATCCTTAAAAATAAATAAAGTTTATTTTTCGTTAGTATAGCAAGTCTTGAGCTTTTCTAAATTAAATTTCGTTTCTAAATAAGTAAACAAAAATAATAAATTCTAGCAAAAAAAATAAAATTTAAATTTTAGCCAAAATTGCCATAAGATACAAAAATAGAAATAAATAGAAATAAACCCTTTCAAAACTCAATTTTTGGGCAAAAATACCCAGGTGTTTAAATATCATAGATAGAATTTTGAAACTGATGTTTGTGTGGGAATTCTTAACGAAAAAGTGCAGATTAGACCATATAAATACAGTTATGCCGAGTTAGGTAATAAATCATTTTAATTAATTAAATCTTCCTTTAAATTCTTAATATATATATTTTTATTATAGAAATATTTTTCAATAAATTTTATTCCTTAATTAACAAAATATTAGGCAGCCTTTTACATCTTCTTTCTCAATTCATATGATTGCCGTTACCGATTCTTTTTTCAGTTCATATTAGGCTAGGTTTTTTTGCAAACTGTTCGAGTTGTTTGGTTTAATTATTCCCTAAAAATAAAAAAAAGTAAAGATAAACTAAATAAAGTTAAACCAGAAATCTTAAATAAATTTAGGAATATACAGATCTGATCTAAATTGGTAGGGATTTTATCCACTTTCAGTTTTTGATCACTTCGCTCATTAGAAATTGTCAGAAATTGAGAAATGTAATTTAGTTATAAATTAATTTTTGAAAAAAAGCCCGGGTTCCGGTTTTCGGGAACATCCCTCGCTAGAACTTTTTTTTATTAATTTAATTATAGTATTTTATGTAATAATTTAAGAATTTAAATAAAAAATGTTTTCTTCATCAACTAATATTTGTTTGTTTTCTCTTTCAATTTTTATATTATTCCAATTAAACAATGGTGATCCTCATCATAACTGTCTTGGTGACATTTGTGGAGTTGGCAGACCATGTTGTGACAATCTAATTTGCACAGAAAGTGAATTTTGATATATGACTAGAAATAATGACTTCGCTACGGTCGCCGCGAGCGACCGTTTTTTACCCCAAAATCGAGCTTACGCCCCCCTATGGTTTTTCGATTTTCAATCCCCTGTATCTCTGCAAGTTTTTGTCTCCGGCAGAAAATTCTTTCATATTTGAACTCAGTTCGGCGAGACGAATCGAATGGTATATATTATGAGTTCCAATCTAGGTGTAGCTATACTAAAGTACAGCCATGTCTTGAAACGAGATGTTACTTTAATTTTTTAGACCAATGTTGCCTTCCATTAGGAGCATCTTGTACTACGAATAGAGAATGTTGTGCAGGCAATAGCTGTCAAGGTAAATTTTGCATTCTTGAAATAATGAATTAAAGGAAAATAACGTAATACCGATCGGTTTATTTTAAATAATTTTTCTGTATTTATCCGCATTTCGATCGGTTAGGTATAAAAAACCGGGCTTTTGTAAGTTATAGAATATAAATATATTTTTTAGTGTCTCAATGCCATACCTGTTATGGTAAAGGGCACGTATGTGATCCGAAGAAAAATAATTGTTGTGGCAGTCTTAAGTGTGGTGGAGATAAAAAATGTCACTGAATGTGAAAATGAGAAAATGTTGTGAAATTATAGTATTTTCCAAACGTTGAACGTTTTTTACTTTCTTTTTCAAAATTTGGCTGTTAAATTCTTTTCTTTTTCTTTAAAAACTATCATCTTTAATGTTTATTAATGCTTTAATTATATTAATTTAAATGAATTTTGATAAATAAAAAATTGGGGATATTAAAAAATTTTTTAAAAATTGTAATTTGTAACGAAACGTATAGAAATAAATTATTTCTATACGTTTCGTTACTGGTTGGCTATTAGTCTCGCACTTAAAACGAACCTGGATATTTTAATAAATATTTCAAATAATTATTAAAAGATTACAGGTTTCAGTAAGTGGATAAACATTTAAATCTAATCCTATTAAATATAGTAGATTTTTGGATTTCTATTAGATCGTCGATTGGAGCTATAATTAGAGCTGAATTTGAAACTGTTTAAGTCAATATTTGGATAAATTTAGTAAAGTAAATTAAATTTTGAAAGAGTATTAATAAGCTCGGCTGTATCCTCAACTCGGGTTTTGTACAATATTTTCCACTCAACTTTGATTTTGGCTTTGCAAGTCCTACAATTCTTCGTCAAAATTTTATTTCAAGAAATCTCAACCTTGTCTACTTTATTTTAAATTATAACTCATTTTATTCTTCTTTATTTTTACTCAACTTTTTTAACAATACATATCTTCGTCAATTTATTTAAAAATAAAATCATTTTTGTACTTCACTTTCATAACAACCATTCAAAAAAGGTTTGTAAGCATTAGCAACATGTATTCCACAATTTATTGTGTAATCATAAAGTTTGGCTGAAGGTTTAACAAAACTTCCAAATTTAATAAAATCATAAAAATTATTTTGATTGTAAAGTTCTTTGTCATACAAAAGTTCAACGTTTTCAAATATTTTTGTATCTCCAGTTATTTCAAACCAATCTTCTTTTGAAGTGTATATACCGAAATCTTGGTTACATTTTTTTAAAGTGGTAATCATTTCCTGAAAATTTTTTGAAATATTTTTTAAAAATGATTTTAATTAAGGAATTATATAGTGTTGAATTAAGAGTAGGATCACTTTTTAGACTTTTTTTAGATACTTACAAGATGTGAATCACTCACTTTAGATACTTACAAGATGTGAAAGATACCTAGACGATAGCCAGCAGGGATCTAGCCGCCATAAAAATTCATTTCCCGATTTTCAGGAATCGAGAATCGGGTCGGCTAAATCCCTGATAGCCAGAGGCACTTCATTATAAAGTAAAAATTTTGGCCTAGAAGGTGTTTAATAGCGAAGTCTACCTCTATATAATTTATTATTGGATTTATGAGACATTAAATAAACTTCAAATAAAAATATAATTCACATTAAGATACCAATTTTAGACCTTTTGTTTACGTTAAAAAAATAAATTTTACCTCAATAAATTCAATATTTTTTGTTATATAATAGCTATCCCAACCAATAGAATTAGCATGAACACCCAACTTAAGTATTGCCAACCAAACCCTTCCAACTTTCAAATTATTGGTTTTTAAATAATTGAGGGTGCTGTCTATTGTTTTACTAAAGTAAAAAGTTTACTTTTTAATTTTAAGATTAATATTAACTTAAGAATAAGGTAGACTCTTTATCTCATCGCAGGTAACTCGGGGCTATTAACAAAGTTTTTGAAAGTCGAATATTGATGTTTTTGGCATCATTCGACACAGCATGATCAGCTGCGTCGTATGATACTAAACTTGACTTAATATGAAATTTATGAACAAAGTTATGAGTTTTTAATGGGTTGGAATTCTGTTGTTGGTATAATCCAAGATTTAAATTTCATGTCCAAAAATTTGTAAATAAATGTACCTCCCACTTCCACAATTTTTACTAACGTAAGAAAGCTGAGCACAAGGATACACATAAATATCTACATCACATATTCCAGCTTCCCGAGCATTTAAAATATTTGATTTTACAGTTTCATCAACAAAACCCTTATAATTAAAGGCTTGAGCAATAACAAATTCTTTAGAATTGTTTTTCAAACATTGAAATACGTCAGTACTTTAATATAATCAAAATATTATGAGTAGGTATAAGGATCTAATATATTCGGAACAAAAATTTGGAGTATCCTGGATCGAACCGAAAACTCGACCTTTCTTCGGTTTGGCTTCTAACAGGCAATCCTAATCACTAGTTTTATTAAATACCGTATTTCCTATATTAGAGCCCCACTCTCTGTTAGAGCCCCACTCTCTAATACAGCCCCCCTTTGGAGGATAGTTGAAAAATAGAGCCCCACCCTCAATTAGAGCCCCACCCCAAATACAGCCCCACCTTGGAGGATAGTTGAAAAATAGAGCCCCATGGGGCTCTAATATAGGAAATACTGTAGCTTAAATTATGTAGGAACTGACCGAAACTTAAGTAGTTGGAAATCGGAAATTTAAAGAATTTGGATCCGAATTTAGAACAAAAAATCGTAAATTAATTTTGACACAATTCTGGTCAAGAATAAATATTTACAGGGTTACATGAAAGTAATCAGTCACCTTTCATTTAATCATAATTTCTTGTTAGTCTATATTTTTTTCTCTAAATCAAAAATTACCTATAAGCTAAATCCCAAACAAAAACACCTTCAACTGCTTCCACATTATTTTTAAACCCCAACAAAAATAAAAAGGAAATAAATTGAATTAAAAAATAAATTAAATAATTCATTTAAATTTAAAAGAAAATTTGTTAAAATATACCTCTCTACACTTAGTTTAAATACAGACTTAAATTTTGGTAAATATTTTGACAAAAATTATTTTGAAAATATTTATGTAATAAGGAAATAAAAATATTTATTATTTAAATTTTATTTTTAGAAAATTTTTTTTCTTTCAAATTTTATTAAAAACAAGGAAGAATATTTAAATACTTAAAAATAATACAAAAGAAATCCTTTATAAAATTAAAAAAAAATTTAAAAATAAATTTTATTTTTATATTTTATTTAAAAAACAATCGACAAACAAGGAAGTATTTATTATACGATAAATTCCACACAAAATACTTTCAACTAGGCTTCGAAAAAAAATTTTAAAAAATTTTAATGTATGTAGACCTAGCTAAAATCATAAACAAGAAGGAATATACATATTTATTTATTTATCAAAAAAAATTTTTCTAATTGTTAAAATTAAAAGAAATTTTTTTAATTAAAAAAAGAATTCTTTGGTTCATTTAAAATTTTTATTTTTTTTAATTTTATTTTATTTTAAAATTTTTCATTTTATAAATATTTTATATATTTTTATGACGATATTCCTAAATAAAAAATAAAAGAATAATAATATAGAAATTTTTTAAGAATAATAATTAATAATTAGGTTGTATGTATGTTTTTAAATATGATGTTATTATTATCACATCATGAAGTACACAGAAATCTTCCCGACAATATTGTTACTAAACATATTGTATAAGCTAGGTAGTCTCTGATCTCCTTTGTCTGATCAAGCCCCAATTCCTCCTTCGCCTAAATTGTATCTTCTATTCTTGTGCTTGTCAAACTAGGTAAATCTCGGACAGAACTCGATATGAAATTCACGATTATTGAATGTTGTGAGAGGTGTTCGAAGCTCCTATGAACATTTATCGAAGGCAAATTCAGAACGACAAAAATTATTTTATACTATAAAACAAGCAATGTTTCTATTTAAAGTTTAAATGAACTTCGACATATCAGGGAGAATAAATTATTAAAAACATTTGTGTCGGGGAATAGACTGTTGTGGAATCTGAGTTAGGACCAACACAAGTTTAATTGCTCCTCAAATTTATAACTTTATTGAGACTTAAAAAATACATAAATTATTTTATCAACAAATTATTTTATTAACATTTTATATATTTTCTTTAATTGTTCTTTTTTATTCACAAAATTCCCTTAATATTTTGCACATCCAATTTATTCGGTACAAAATATCCTTTACAACTTTTGTTCAACAATGCTTTCTTAATTACTGCACATCCATTACAACTGACAGCTGCTGCTTTCATATAATCTGTTCCACAACCAAATACTTGGCTAGATTTAGGTGTGTACAATTTGTTTGGGTTGCCCTCCAACTGAAGAGCTCCTCTATACAGTTCAAAGTAAACGTGAGGGCCTGAAATTTTAATTTTTTTGTAGATTTAGAATTGGTTTTCATCAATCCGTTTAAACTAATTTATTTTTTAGCCAAACAGTAACACACTAAACATCTATGGCAGATATGAGGTATGTATATAGATCGGCTTGTGAATCCAATCCTTTGCCTGATTTTGTCTGAGCTTTGGGTCAGAATCGAAACATTATAAGGATGTCTATCCCATATAGTGGATAATGCTTGATCCTGAAGCCTTCCGATTTGCTGGCTTATAATCGCTTAACCATCCTCCCACTTACTGATCGTTTTCTTTTTACTTTATCTGCTAGGCTTGGAGGATCTAACACTTTATTTACCCGCATATTGATCACAATAAGGCGCCAGTTCACCATATACAGGAAGATTATTCTTAACAGGTACATAACAATTAGCATCTTCATCACAAACACAAAAATTCTTCATTCCACTTTTACCACAAAGAACCCGAATTGCCTTTAAATTTAAATTTTAAAAGTTTTTAAGTTTTGTTTTTAAATTTTACTTCAGGTTCATAAATTCCTGGACCTTTTTGGCTGTCATAAAATACATCTACCAACGTTAATTTTGTTGGAGTTGGATTACAGTTGATAAATCCTTTAATTTTTTAAAAGTTATTAAAGTACCTAATTATTAAACTACATATAATTTTCTCATTCTCCCCTCTTTAATTAGCCTCACCAAGGATTAGAACATCAATGCCTTATTTGTTATTACAAATCATGACGCTGACCAGTATAAGGAAAATCTTGAGCGAATTTTGTCTTTGTCTAGAACCCAATCTAGTTAACTTATTACGGACATAATAATTAAAAATAAAAGAAACAATAGAAAGTTTTTAAACCAACGCCTCCGTTTCAAATGCTAGCAAGCTTAAACTTAACAGCTTAAATTTTGAACTTAAACTTTTTTCCTTTATTAGGTAAATATCAAAATATTTAATTCACCATTAGCAGGACGGCTTCTCTGATAATCAGAAGTTTTCAAACTCAATCCATAATCACTATTCTCCAATCCTTCAACCAAAAAGTCAATTCCCTTACAAACTTTAAAAAATTTATAATTTTTTAAAATAATTTTTTAAAGGACCATATTTGCAATTATAGTTAGGTTTGCCTGAACATTGTTGTGAATTACTTGAATAAATTAAAGATAATATAATTAATAAGAAAATTTGATAAAACATTTTTAATATTCTAGAGTCAATTAAAACTTTAATAATTATTTTTTAATCATTTAAAGATAATAGCCGTCGATTTAAAATAAGATTTAGCGTAGGGTTGTACCCCGAACGTTCGGGGGCGGGTATGTCGGGGTACGGGGTTTTCCAATTGTTTCGGGGCGGGGTTCGGGGCGGGGTTCGTTTTTGTTTTAGCAGTTTAATTTCTCAATTATCCTCTTCTTTACCACATATGTATGTTCTTATTAAGGGTTGAAGACTAATTTTAAAAATCGGAAAGCATTAGATGGGAGAAACGGAAAAATGACGGAAGAAAGGTTTCTCCCCTTGTTTCAATGGGTAGATCAGTTTAATTGTAAGATTTATTTGATTATTTGGATTTAATGAAAATTAGATTTGTTTGGATTTAATGAAATAAATTTGGAATGAGCAAATTTTTATAGGACCAGAAATTATCTTTCAAGCCAATGATACTTCCTTGTTTTTTGAAGATTTTACAAGTTAAAGAATAAAATTTAAAAGAGATGTTGCTCTAAAATGTATATTGAATGAGCGTTTAACACGTAATACGTAAATAAATTTGTTGGCATTTTTTTATGAAGTTGAAGCAAAATTTTAAAGAAAATATTTATCTAAATTTT